TCTCATATACAGGTGGTATTTCCTTCTCTTGCTTGTGGTGCTCAGTTCACAAATAGACTAACTTTACTATCATGAAAAACACACTTAAATTGTAAAAACGTATGTTTACTCAAATGGTCTGAAAGCTGCATTTTATTGCTCTTCACACCTAGATCCAGAGCACAGTAAGTTCACCAGCAGACTATCATTTCAGAAAGAGGAAACAATATTCTTAGGATTAAGCCACTGAAAATACATGATTTCAAAACTAAGTATCCAAGAGATTTTCTAACATGTTCACAAGTACCAGGAGGCAGAATTCCATTAGCCTAAAAGAGGAATATAGTTTTGAAAACTCCCAATTTCATCTTCATTTCTGAACTTTCTGAAACTGACAGGGCAACATATGATTGATGTACTGACATTCAAATTAAATTAAAAAAAACATTAGTTAAGGCATGCTTGATAACTCCAGTCAATATTTGTTGCCATGTAAGAAGTAGCTTTAATTTATATTAATTAAGACTAAGCCAGTAACTCCCTCTGGATGGCTACAGGAGGATATTGGGAGTGGTCATTTTCAATACTCAACTGTAAATTCAATTTTGTATTCACTGAGAAAGCAGAAAACAATATAAACTAATTTAAACAGGATTTAGATTGCAGCATTATTAAAGCTATTCATGTGGAAAGAAATTAACACTGCTCATAAAAATCACATCAAAGACGCACTTATAAAAATTCCAAAGACTTTCTGTGAGCATGCTCAGGCATAACTCTGAATGTGGATGCACTTTAGAAGCTAGAAGGTGCAGATGTGCTTTTTCCACAGTAAGAATTGGGAAAAACTGGTATATTATGGAGTGAATATAAATCATTTGCTCATTAAAAATAGCCCACCATTTCTAATCAGGGCATACAGTGTTAATGCACCTGAGTTAATGCACAGGTTCATTCACCGGTCTTGCCTTTTTCCCCCTCTTCCATCTGTCCCCCCCACTTCTTTTGTTAAACACCATGGCATGCCTCCCTGCATTTGCTCATGCTATGTGCTTATTCTTGGGTCTCTCGCACTCCTGGGTCCCCCTGGTCTGTTGTTATTCTTCCCTCAAGATTCAGCTTAAGTGCCCTTTTGTAAAGAAACCTCTTCTGCAACTCTAGGATGAATCAGGTGTCTCTTTGCTATGTTTCCACGATTCCCACATATCCTGCCATTAAAGCATTAGTCACTCTGTATAGCAATTGTCGGTTTACAGATCTGTCTCCAGTTTTGAGGGGCTAATAGGAGAATAAAATTTCCAAAGCATATTTCTATCTTCTGGTTACTCCGAGTTTTTCCCTTTGTATTTTATATTTTATTATACTCTACAATAGTTCCTCCTTATCCACAGTTTCACCTTCTGGGGTTTCAGTTACCCCAGGTCTCAGTTAACTGTGATCAACTGCAGGCCAAAAATAATAAATGGAAAATTGCAGAAATAAGCAATTCATACATTTGAAATTGCACACTGTTCTGAACAGCATGATGAAATGTCATGCTGTCTCACTCTGACCTGACCAGGATATGAATCATCCCTTTGTCCAGGGTACCCACATTGTCTATACTACCTCCCTGTGAATCACTTAGTAGCCACCTGGGTTATCAAATCCACTGTAGTGGTATAGATGTGTCTGAGTTCAAGTAACCCTTATTTGGCATAATAACGGCCCCAAAATGCAAGAGTAGTGACGCTGGCAGTTTGGAAACGCCAAAGAAAAGCCACAAAGGGCTTCCTTTAAGTGAAAAGGTGAAAGTTCTTCACAATAAAGAAAGAAAAAAAATTGTATGCTTAGCTTGCTAAAATCTAGGGTAAGAACAGTATTTTAATCTATGAAATTGTGAAGAAGGAAAAAGAAGCTTGCGCATAGTATATATATAGTGTTCACTACTATCCGTGATTTCAGGCATCCACTGGGGATCTTGGAATGTATCCCTCAAGGATAAGGGGAGACCAGTGTATTCCTATAGATTTGTAGCAATTAATACTGGAAAGATACAAATATAATTATTAAAAGTCAGGAAACACCACAGTTGATAATAAACATTTAAATTTCATGTCAAAGAGTATTTTTACATTTGCCATTGTCTACCAGAGATAGATGTTCTCGTGGCAATTAAGCTGGATGATCCTGAATTCATTATCACTGGCAATGAAAGTTAAAGTGATGTCAGATAATCCCACAGAAGCAAGGCCCTCTGTAGTGAGACCCTAAACAGTTTATCAAGTAACTCAAAAATGTTTTTGAAAGCATTTTTAATTATTGGAAGGTAATTGCTCTTTAGCTTTGTGAGGAGTAAATAATATTATAATGATACTATTAGATGTCACCACTGGAATCCACACCCATCTCATTTCATATCTGGTTATTTCAGACTTTGTTAACCTCCTTCCTGATCCTTCTCTTCCACGTTTGAATACTTGGCCCATAGTAGGCTTATAAAACTGCGTAAGGGAGAACTCTTTGCTCTTCAAAGACCAGATGCAGGAGCAGCCTTTGGGA